TTTTTTGGTTGCAGCCATCATTGTTGTTTGGCGGGCCCGGGCTGGGGATTCGAACCCGTCACCTTAAGTGTATGTGGCTGGCGCCTTAGCCGCTTGAGCCATAGGTGCCGAGCCCTTTAATGCTTTCTTTTGCTATCAAAATACCTGCTAGTTTATACCTTCCCTTTTTCTCCATATTTGTGTCTTGTTAGGCAGCTGGGGTAGGTGACAGTCAGACTCTATGACTGTCTACCTTATTTTTTTTCTTTTGATCTTCTACCTTATGGTCTGTGTCTGGTCATGCTTCAACCTCCTTCCCAGAGAAGAATAATTGCTGCATCGTAGTTTTTATAAGTTCCTATGATATTAGGACAGTTCTGGAAATTTCTGTGGAAGAAAAAGCCTCTATAAGGCTCACAGGATACTTGGCAGGTTTTTAAAAAAAAGATCTACAGAGTAGCTACTCTCAGGAAAGTTACTCCCATTTGCCAGAGCACCTCCTGTACCACACAATCTTAAACTTGCAATCTAGTTCAAGTAGAAGAAGCAAATAGACACAAAAATAGTTAAGTTCTACTTGTTAATAAAAAACAAGTTTTAGGTTGGTCATATGCCAAATCAATCTCTCACATCTTGAGGTATATATTACCAGCACCAATGCTAGGAATAATAAACCTGTGATGACGGTACGAGCCTTTGGTATCTGGAAAAGAATCTACCGTGTTCATTAGAGTGTATTTACTGATGCAGGGAAGGACACATTGGAAAGGTGGTAGCAGAAAAGCTTTAGGGGTTTCTTCTCCACTAAACAACACTCCACTCTTACATCATTTCAGTTAACTGAGTTTTCTTTTCTTTTCTTTTTTTTTAAGACAGTGCCTTCTTACTATGTCACCCTCGGTAGAGTGCTGTGGCATCACAGCTCACAGCGACCTCAAACTCTTGGGCTCAGAAGATTCTCTTGCCTCAGCTTCCCAAGTAGCTGGGACTACAGGTGCCTGCCACAATGCCTGGCCATTTTTTGGTTGTAGTTATCATTGTTGTTTAGTAGACCCAGGCCGGGTTCGAACCCACCAGCCCTGGAGCAGATGACCGGTGCCCTAACCATTAGTACCAGTACCCAGTTCTGGTCCGTTTCATGTTTTTGTCTCTTTTTTCTTTTCTTCTTTTTTTTTTTGAGACAGAGTCACCCTTAGTGACCCTTTGTCACCCTTAGTAGTGTGTTGTAGCATCATAGCTCACAGCAACCTCAAACTCTCAGGTTCAAGCAATTCTTTTGCCTCAGTCTCCCAAGTAGCTGGGACTACAGGTGCCAACCATAACACCCAGCTATTTTGCTTGTTGTCATTGTTGTTTAGCAGGCCCAGGCTGGGTTCGAACCCACCAGCCTTGGAGCATATGACTGGTGCCCTAACCATTAGGCTACCAGCACCCAGTCCTGGTCCGTTTCATGTTTTTGTCTCTTTTTTCTTTTTTTTCTTTTCTTCTTTTTTTTTTTTTT